TTTTGCTTTTCATTTTTTTGGGATTGGGACTTGGTAACGGAGTGTGGTCACCTATGGGTCTTCCGATCTCTTTCTGAAGTTCCATCTCTTCTATATCTTCATCCTCACATGCTTCCCGCATAGCAGCAAGGTTGTAATCATGGTCGGAGAGGCTACCTGTTAACTTGGGGTTAGCCATTTTTATCGCTCAAAGTTTATCTTTGTGTCTGCCTGAAGGTCTGTCAAAGTAACTTCCAGGGGGTTTCGCTTGCGTTCTACTTCCTTTGGAGTAACAGTTTGTCAGTAAAGTATTTTACAGGACATCAAAATCACGTTTCTTAATCAGACCCGCAGATTGTACAACCGCTTATTCCGCCATCTTTCTCTTGGGTAACTGGGCGCTAACCTGTACCATTCAAATATATTGAATGTCGCAATGTTGGCAAAGAGAGGAAGTGACGTAAGATTTGCGCATGCGGGGTACCGATCGGGTTTCCGGTACGGAGGGGGTGCGGCTAGCTTGACGGTGACTTTGCATATGAAGGCTCACTTGACCACAGTCCCTTTAGGGGATGCCAGAGCATATTATCTGCCTCCATCTCGCCCTATCCTTAGCATCTTCCTCTGTGACACCTGAACCTGCGTCAGGTGTCAGGTGTCTTCACTACATCCATCTTGTAAACCTGCCCTTTCACTTCTGTTTCAAATCACCCCTGACAATCACTCACTCCACCCTGGCTACATTTTCTTCTCCACCTCTCTTGAGCAATGTCAGTTGCTTTGGATGGCTGACCGAAGCAACTTAAAGTGTGAAGCTCATCATTTTTAAACTCAAAGAGTCTAAGCAGTAGTTTCCAGATGACAGGACTCTTTCGGCGTTTGATAAAGTTGAATGAATTTGATAAAATCCCTCTTATTTTCAGTTGGCTCTGATACAGTGAACAGTCTGAGACAATAAACCACCCGATGAAACCAGATATACCCAAAACACAACAAGCACATACCACACTATCATATTGTCTCTTCTGTACACATGCAATTAGTTTTCCAAGAAACTTCGTAGAAAAAAAAAAGCTGTCTGTCATTGTACAACGTGGGAAGATAAAAAACAAACAGGTTTTAGCTGTTTGTGTAATGCAAGCTGCATTTCAAAGCATTAAAGTGTGGGCATGCGTCTGTGTCACTCGAAATAGCTGCTGCACCAAGCAGTGTTATTTAAACACATTTGAAAGTCGTTTGTGTTGAAGAGGCCAACGATTCCAGAACAAAATCTTTCACTGTGTCGAGCAGCTCATATGGTGCTCAAGTGGGATTGTCAAAGGGCCAATTGTGAGGCTGGCTTTGTACCTCCTTGTGGTTTGTCAGGCATTTTTTTTTTTGCCCACAAGACATGCTCGAACACAAGGGCTCACAGGCCAGAGAAAACAGGGAGACTCTCATAATAAAGCGGCACAAAGAGAGATCTGTCAACAACTAAAAGGAGTCTGTGCAACAAGCAAACACTATTTACCTATGTTTCAAAGCAAAGCATCCACATTAAGTGACACACACACCCAAACCCCCACACACAATTGATCAGGAGCATTCTTGCGTGCACAAGAGATTGACTCTGTGAGAATGAAAATCTGGTCCTGCTTGTTTTTCTTTTTCCACTGCTCAACCTGTTTCTTTAGAGCAGTTCTCATTGCGTGTTGAGGTCAGAAGGCTTTAGAGTGAGATTTCGAGATCAGGTGTGTTTTTAAAAAGAAAACCGAAGTGACGATGACATGGAGGTGGTATGCTGTGGAGTAATGACAACACTAACCCTGCAGTGCAAAGAGGGACAGGCTAAAGCACGAGGGCTTTAAATGGCAGTTCTGTACCAGACTGGGGCAAAACCCTGAATAAATCACATCACACTTTGGGTGCCAGAATGGCACAAATAACGCACAATGGCAATCAGGTCGATGCTGCTACATTATAAAACTATCTGGAGGTTTAAGTTTGACTTTATGAAAGCAAAATTAGTATTTCTTTCCACATGTGTAATTTTCACTGTAAGAAGACATAAGAATATTCACAGTGCTTTACTTGTCCGACCGGTGTTGCAGTGGGTGTGGAATCGAAAGCACGCAAGAGCGTCCCAAGTGGGTTGGCATTCACTGCACACTGTGTGGAGGGCACCGCGGACAGGATTTATTCCTCCACAGGGCAAAAAGACACGTTTTATGTCCAGGATAGCTCCTGTTATTCAGCCCGGGAACTGCTGCACTGCACATGGTGATTTCTACTAGCTGATATAAAAATGGACCTCAATGGCACATCCAGCAAACTTGGTGAGTTGCTCAAAAATCTGTGCATGTGAGCGCACTGATTTAGTCTACTTGCACTAAAAAGCGCACGTTTTTTAATGTGTTTGATTTATCGATTTTGTGCCAGTTAGAGCACTATTAGGCAAGCTTCACCAAACCCATGTTTGTTTTTGATGTTTGAATGAAAGTTGGGTCTGTTTTCTTTTTCTCTCCTCAATAAATAACAACGTCTCCTGTCTAATGTCTAAAATTGAGACAAAAATAACAAATATTAATCAACAGGAGCTTTTAATACTTATACATATGTATCATAAAATAAAAAAAGGAGCCAGTGCTTCTAAACAAAAAACATTGTGGTTTCCTGGTTAGAGAAATGCTTCACAATTTCTCACGTTCCTTGGTTGCTTTCTGTTGGTTTTCTTTCAACGCACATTTGCCATCCAAAACAGTGAGGTGGGCTCCTGGTTTTGGCATCGTGACATGTTTCTGTTACCACGACAATGACACGTTTCATCGAGCTGAACGAATAATATTGAAGGTATTGCAGGTTACGTTTCATCTAATTTTCCACTTTGCTTTCTAACCACACCCAGAGATCGTTGATCAGGTAGCACAGGTTTTTATCGATGAGCTGCAGTTCTTATACATCCTTGTGGATATTAAAACATCCCTCGCTCTTTAAATATCCTATCTAAATTTGCAATTTTTTAAACTACAGGCCAATCCACGTTTCCCTTAGGATGGCGCTGTTTCACATCTCATTACTAAAATGGTTATTACGTAAAATATTCATAAACGTATAGATATATAACAATTCTTTTATTTGTGTTTGGAAGCAGCTACAGCAGCCCGTCAAGACATGAAAATAGTGATGTGTAAAACGCGTACTGCTTTTTTTTATTTACATAGAAATTTATTTAAAGGCATATTGTAACCTTTTACCTCTGTATAAGCAACCGCAAAATTCTTCTTTAAGCGCACAAGACCTTTTATTATTGCAGACAAACCTCACTCTGTGAGAGTGATGGCCCACTTAAGCCAGTCAGATGTGTTTCCGACCATTAGAAGTTTTTAAAAAGTTTATCACTAAGATTACAGGTTAGATGAGAGCAGACTCACACCCTCATAGCGCTGAACGGTTCCTTCAGAGTGTGCAAACAAGGACAGGTAAGCAAAGTTACTGCAGCTCTAACACAGAAACAGATTATTTTTGGGACCCGCCCCATGAGGGGAGATCTACGTGTTGCTTCTCTTTAACGCCGAGCATCGACCCGACCGGCCAGTCTCTTTATCCCACCGGGATAAACAAGAAAGTTTATCCGAGATGTCTTGTTTCCATAAACGGCCAAAAAGGACAAAATCCGAGGAACAAGCATTTCTGGAACACCTGAAAAAAGTTGCGAAGGAGAACGGAAAACGCCTGGGTGAGTCCTCCAAAGGTGCAAACGCGCTTGAGACGCCTTCGACTGTTTTGCCAACATTGGCAGGCGCGTGCGCGTAATGTTTGGATAACATGGATTTTGCGAAACTTTATATCTTCAAACAAGAGAAAAAAATATCACCAATCACGTGCAGCCTTGGACGATAAATGTTTCTGTCGTGACGTTGAGAATAAACATAAGGTTTGTGTTTTGATCCGTGCACTCTAACGCTTTATGGTAGCTTCCTCGTTGCCTGGAGCGGTAAATTCTTTGACGTTAGGGAAGTTGCAGCGTAAGGGTCTGTGTGATGGAGCTGAAAACGAGGTGACAAATGAGACTACAGACACAGGATGTGCTAAACTTCAATAAGACTTCATGAGCTGAGGGGAAAACCTCTGCGGTGTTCGATTCTCGGGTTTCTGTCTCTTATTGTTTCCCCTTCTAGACAGCATAGTTTCCTGGGTATTAGTCATCTGCACAGAGGAGGGCAGCACAGTATTTATATCTAAATTTCTTTCCATTTTATTGTGTCATTTATAACACAGTCGTAATCTAACAACACTGCATTCCTGTTAAGCAATTAAAAACCATGTCCTACACGTGTTTTTGTAGGAAAATATAATTGTTTGAAATAGTCACATTCCCTACTCAGGTCACATGACATTGTACTGTGTGGGAATGGTTTTCCAATGTGACAAAGACTCACTTTTTGATCGTCAAACTAGTCTTTTTATTTATGGCAAGGGGGTTGTTTGGCATCCAAACATATGACGTGAACTTGTGCCATCACGCCTCCCTCTCACTTCACAGTTCTTGGAATTTTCTTGTGCTAGCTTGTGTAATTGGGTGCACACAGTAAAGAGCTCTTCCCATCTGAAACTGATTAGTTCGCTTAAAAAAATGCAAACAGAGAAGTTTGATGCGTAAGGAACATGTCAGCGCCTGCTTTCGTAACATGAAGCTGTTGGATGACTGAAAGCAGGCTGCTCTTCTTCACAGTGAAGTAGATCACAAGAAAAGAGGCTTGACAAACACGTAGAAGGTGCTCAGAGCAAAGCCTCCAACAGAAAGCCTGACTGGGCAGGGGTGGTGCAGCGCTGGCCAGTCCTCCTCCCTGGCTGCAGAGAGGCCAGAGACTCATAAACAGCCTCTGTGGGCTTGTGGTGTGATCTGGGCGAAAAAGAAATGTCTGTTATGCTGCGATCCTGCCCACAGCCATAAAAACACTCCCTTCTGAGTCGTATTTAATGTGTTATCCTCAAATGCCCTTTGTTTACTTAGAAAGTGTTGCATATTCTCAGTCTCAGTTAGAGAGAATTTTATAATTCATAAAGCTGTGTGAAACAAACACTTTTACACTGATAAACGCCAGCACTGATTAACAAATATGCTTTGAGTCATTCATTCGGATGATAGCACACACCCTTCCCAGAATGCAACACTCAGAAAATTGCTGCACCTGAATGATAGGCTATTGTCTCTACTTGTCTGAAATGTTGTGATACACTGCACTGTACTACAGTACGACAGGTGTGCTGGGGATAAAAAAGACACAGGACTGCACATAGCTTAGATTTCATTCTAGATATAGATGGTTCCAAAAGTCTTTGTTGGTACTCGTGTATGACAGCCATATGGGACCTATAAATTAATTTAAGGTGTAACTAATAATGCTTATCTTCATTTTCTGTCACATATACTGTTAAACTGGTGCATCCTCATATTAAACATGGCTAAAATTGCAAGTATTGATAGCATATTGATCAGTTTTATTTATAACATTTATTTACTTCTGCTATTAATACTCAGTTTATTGCAATATCTAACCAAGTGTTTCCTGGAACTTCATGTATATTTTAAAATACAGAAGGCAGAAACTTGCGTGACTGCTCCTTTTGTCCTCACACCCGCAGGTTTGGAGGGAGATTCAGATCTCCAGTTCTTGTTGTTGGGAGGAAAACTGGTCAAGGTTCGCTCAAAATCCTGGAAGCATGGCCGCTACTTCAAACTGGAGGAAGACTGCCAGACCTTTTCGCATGAGTCGAAAAAAGCATTCAAGCAAAACCACACCTGTGAGTGTAACCTCTGTGCTTACTTTATTATATATGTTTGTATATTTACATGCCCAGCGTTCCATCCAGCCAGCCATTGTCTTCCACATATCCCGGACAGGCCTCCAGTCTGTTGCAGGTCCTTGTACAAGTTCTGTGTTCCATTTAAATTATTTTAGTCTGATGAGAACATCTACCTTTTTGACCCGCAGACCGCTCTTCTATTATTCTGTCTGCTAAGAGCTCTCCTTTCAGATCTTAACAAAAGCGTATTCCCTTACAGCACACACACACACAAGCACACCCTCATATGACAATAGTAGTGAATATGTGTGAAAACAGCTCCATGCTGATAGGTACTGTGGTGTGGCGAAAGCCGGACTGGGAAATACTAGTGTGACTCCCAGCTGTATGTTTATCTGTGTGTGTTAGAGAGACTATTTTCCTTAGGTTTTCGGTTCAGTGAGCCACTGTCTGGCTGTGAATGTACAGCATGTGTGCATCCACTGGGACTCAGGTAGCTCAGGTTTCCAAGCTCACCTCTGCCCTGCACTTGAGCCTTGAACAAACACTGAGAATAATGACTCTAATATTCTCTTTACAAACACGATGTTTTCTAACGTTACCGAGCTTTCTTACAGATGGGCCTACACAGGAATTTCTTTGTTTACGGAAATAAGCTGCTATTTTATTGCTTTCCTGTGGGCTCCAGCTGCATTTACCAGTCAGCTCTAAAGCGCTTTGATTAAAATAGAGGAGATTGTGGGAGGACAGCATTTATTGTTTTTTTTTTTACCATATTTTTCATGAGAGCATCTGCTGCTGTGCTTTACTCAAGTCAAATTTGTCAGCTTGAAAAGCTGGCTTATCCTACTTATGTCACTGACAGCATAGCTTAGTTTGGGCAATTTAACGAGGTTTTAATCCATCCACTGATCCACTCAATAACTGGTCCATTAATCTATCAATCGATTATTTTGTGCGTATCCTTCCTCCTAGGGGAGCTTTCCCAGGCCAGATGAGATATATAATCGCTCTAGTGGATTCTGGGTTCCACCCTGGGTTTTCCTTCCAGTTGGGAAAGCCTGGAAAACCTCCAAAGCAAACTGCCCATGAGACATCTTAATTAGATGCCCAAACTGGTATTTAACAGCTGTACTCAAAGCTCCCTCTGGATGTTCAAGGTCCTTACTCTTTCTAATGTGGATTCCAGCCACCCTAAGAAGGAAACTCATTGTATTATGACCTTTTTCTAATAATTACAGGTGAGCACTGGAACATAGAGTGACTGACATTCAAAGTTGTTCTTTTTGTTTTGTTTGTTCGCTCACTGGCACGGCTATCTAACCCTTAACTCAAACTTCCCTTTGAGGAAAAGACTGTTAGAAACAACAGAGTGAACTTTCGTCAGGCCATCACAAAACTCTCTTTGTGTAAACATTTCATGTGGTATTCGAACAATGTCTGCGTGACACGGATAACACGACTTGGACATTGTGGCAAGTCTCTCCAGATGGGATTCCCTGAAATTGGTCCAAATTCACAACCTCTGTTTTGTTGGAGATAATGTGCATGCACAGATCAACCAAACACTCCCTTTTCTGCTGAGTGCTTTTAAGGTATTTTAGTCATCCAGCAATCAGCTGAGGCAGGGCTTGGAAAACATGGGTGTGTTTCACTCCACTGCCCCCTCAATGTGTTGTTTTTGTTTTGACCTATTTTGAACTTTAGATTCCTTTAAAGTAGAATGAAGGAATCTAAATCTCTAACTTTGGGGTGCAGGGAGTAGATGTGGAGTGATTGTGGCCCAGCCATAATATATGGCCTCATGGCTAAGCCTGGAGTCTTTTGCTGTTTTGTTACAAGGGCCTGTGCTGCTGTGTAGTGCAATGACATCATTGCACAAGTGCATGCTCTTCCGTACATTGAGGCCAGCTCTATTGCACAACAATAGAGCTGGCCTCCGATGCATTGGCTGCATCAGTGTGCAGTGACCTTTTGTGTATGTATGTTGTCTTTGTATGGGTGATATAGATAAACATTTTAGTCCGAGACACTTTGATTGTATGGGTGCATGTGTTTGAAAAGAGGTTCAGGAGAGGTCAGATTGTGTAAAAATGTTTTAAAGTGCAGTAAAGTCAAAATCAAATCTGGAGTGGGTTTGTGTTGCAAAAGAATTCAGGTTTACAGGAGATAACAACAAAATGTTGGAGAACCCATCTGTTAGGCCTAAAAATGACTCATAAACATTAAGACTGTTTGGGTAAAATGGCTCAATCTGGTTTATTATAAACATGATTTAGTAGTATGTTTGACAGCAGGACATTCATGAAGACTTGCTGTTGCAATGTTTTACCTAATTTTTTGCTTTTATGGCCTACAGTGTTGAGTCAAGAGCTCTGTTTTCAGCAGGATTCATCTGTTTCCACTGAAAAGCTCTGATAAGTCAACTGTTTACACACTGTCTAGTACCAAAAAAAGATAGTGACTAGCTCGTGAAGATGGTGCAGCATTTAGCTGCTGTCAAGAGTTTGTGAAGGCCATTGGCTAAGGCTTTATAGTGATCTAAAATATAACAAAAATGTTATGCTAATTTTGATGTCCTGTAAATAGACAATGCTTGCTAAAAAAGCAACGGTAGCACTTTCTTGGTACCACATTATGCATTTTTTACACACATAAATGATCAAAAAGTCAGCCTTTGATTCATAAATGTTGTCGGGGTCCCACCAGTGCATGCAGAAAGTTGCCTGGAAGACGTAAGTTTTGTGCTGCAGATTTGTGAGTGAAGGCAACAGATGTGGCGTGCTGAGACAAAAGCCTTCCTGTAGATAAGATAGAAAAACAGTTTCAGTTGTAACCACTGGGACAAAAAAGTCGGCCGCCACAAGATATGGACTTACAGTGGGGCAAAAAAGTATTTAGTCAGCCACCGATTGTGCAAGTTCCCCCACCTAAAATGATGACAGAGGTCAGTAATTTGCACCAGA